AATCCGTCTTGATTTAGGTTATTTTTAATCATTTTATTGGAGAGGCACTAATCTTTTTGTAGTTCCCATGCGATTGCTCAGACTTTTATTCAAATCCGCTGGCGCACATACCAAGCAAAACCTAAATGAATTGAGAGAATACGATATTGTTACATTTTTGTACCACTTTGTATCGTAGCATTAAAACAAATTTTTCTGGTTTGGTTTGGCAGCTGTTTGTGGCTAAGCAGATAGTTTCTAGATCACTTAAAAAAATTATTATGACTTCGCAGCGACCCTGATATACATCTTAATTGCGCTGTAGCATTTACGCCATTGGACGCGCCAAATGGCTGTGATATTCTGCAGGGTGATTTTGCGCTAGATATGCCCTCTTTTCACTTCACGATTTCGAAGTGGGCCGTTGGTAGTTTATAAATAAAACGTAATTTTTCTGTTTTGATTAGAGACTTCTTGGTCACTTCTGTTTTTATGCCTGAGTGTGCAGAAAAAATGCCCGATCTGGTTTTCTGCAATTTGGCAAAGGAAATGTTTTTTTAATTATCTGCGTAAAATATGGACTTTTTATGAATTATCTGGTCTGTATGCATTTTTAGTCATAAAATCAGCTAAACAATGACTTTTTGTAGTAACACTGTATTTCTAAATGTGTATTCTCGGTATTCATTGACTAGAAAATGCCATGCGAACAATCAATTGTGCACATTTTAATAATTTTTTGCAGCCATACTGCATAATGCAATGTGTGTAGGTGATTAGTTAGGCCCTTAAAACACAAATTCAAAATTTTGGCGTATTTACAGGTTTTACCTTTTTACAAAACCGAATCATTTTTTCCACATTCAGTAATAAATCTACTCACTTATACACACACATAACAACTTTTAAATTCTTTGCATATGTTCATGTTAACTCGATATAGCATTCCGTAGTAATTCCTATAATGTTAAGAAAAAAGGATGAGGACTCAGTTTGATGGTATTATTAACACACATTTATTGGTGATTTATTTTTTAATAAAATTATTGTTTATTTACTTCTACGGTTTTTTCTTCTTTGCTTCCCAACGGTCTTTAAGGATATTTAAGAGGGAACAAAAACGGTATTTTCACCATTCTCACCAACGTTCTCATACATTTTAAATATTAATTTAACAGTTTTTAAGGGCGCGGCGGGTTAACAGAGAAAATGGAAACGGACTGCTGCAAAAATAGTTAACACAAATTAATATCTGAATAATGAAACTGAAAATTTACGAGTATCTGTAGGAAAGTGACTAAACTTGCCAAAGAAAATGATTCGAGATTGCTACAAAATGAATAATAGTTGGGCGTTTAAACAGCTTCAAGTAACCCCGGAGGTTCAACGTTTTCTATCACTTTCCCTAAACGCATTCGCAGTTTTCAAATGAAAATACTTAATGGTAATTGGAGCCACTGAATGGCCATTAGAGACTTTCGGTCAATTTTGCGACGCCAATGATGGCGGTCTAAATAGTTGCAGCCAGTTTAAAAACGTCTTCTACCGATTCTGTTAGCCATCGAATTTAAGTGGGTCATCATATATAAAGTGAAGTTCAAGGTACCTGAAGAAGCATTTGCGCTCGTCGATCATCGCGTTCACTACCGCTAGTTCCGTGTGATTTTTGTGATAACTGAATTTTATTTAGGTAAGTAGGTAAATATTTATCTGGGGAAGGAAAAGGTACTTAGTTGGAAAAGCAACGCCTGTTTTGTTTTTATGAAGATTATTAAAATTGCCTAGAAAATTATGAAAAAACCATTTTCTTTAACTGCTGATAGTTTCTCCATTAGAGAGCGCTTACGGCCTGAAGAACTAGCAGTTGCCGTTAAATCAGAGCCCTTCGACTACAGAAATGTAGAACAGTAAAGCATCGGAAGTATCGGATTTAAATATTCATATAACAGTATAAGTGAAAATATCGAGCCAACAGAACGGGACGTCGACGTGCTAACTATATAACGGGTTTAAATTTCACTGTGCTACCGAAGAACTAAATACACTTAGTATGATCATATATGCAACTATTCATCATCCACTCAATATCCGTCTTTCAGCTTCATGGACTCGTTTTCAACGGCTTGGAATATTGCGGGCCGAAGATGAAGATTACTGTGTTTTGCTTTAACGGTTAAATGACCCAAATGTGCGACCACTAAGTAGGGTGTCGCGTTATTGATTAATAAATAAATAAGCACTGAGTGGGATTCATTAACGGGAAATTACTGGTTTGTGATGGAAAAGAGAGAACATCCACTTAAGTGCTCCAATCACCGTCGGATTTTCCAACCAGAAACTTGGGCAGATGAAAGAGCAAAGGAGAAGACGAAAAGTTTGGTTGCTGATATTGTTTGAACTTCTGACCAGCAACAGAAAGCTTTTTCCTAACTCGGCTGTAGGCAGGGGAGGATCCAGCTTTATGTAGAAAAAATACAGTCTTCTGTTGTCTATGAAATTAGAAAAATGATCGTCGTTTTGTGCAAGGGTAGCGCAAGATTATTGCAAAATTTCATGTTTCCGGCCCGTTTTGCATGTTTCTCGGACGTAAAATGAGCAAGATTGCTCGTTTTTACATCATTCCAGAGATAACTAAATGGCCTTGATTCGCAGTTTCTCAAGAACCATTCGAGCCACAAAATTCGTTTTGGCATCGTTGGATAGAGAATTGAAAACTCGATTCAGTCGTAATAATGTGAGTGAGGAAATTCGAATAGTTTTGGCCCAGAAAGCGAAATTTGAATAACAGACACTTGGGTGCAAGATTATGCCAAAATTCCATGTTTTCCGTCCCGTTTTTGCCCATTTCTCGGAGGCAAAATGAGCAAGAACGCTCATTTGTACCCCATTCTAGAGAGAAATAAATGGCCTTTTTAAAAAGTTAACCATTGATGGGGAAATGTTGGCAGTTTTCTCAAAAAAGGCTTGAATTCAGGAAGTTTTAGATTTGCGTGGTTTTTTTTGAGTTGCAAAATCCACTTGAAC